AGACACCAGAGACACCTGACTCGACCCCTGCAGGTGTCTCACTCTCTCTCCTTGGCATTGCAGAGTTCTTAGGGCAGCTGCGTTCTTAATTAGGCACCTCATCAAGTGTGGTCTGTTAGGGGAATGACATTGGGCTTTGTCGCATTGAGAGTTGTGAGGGCAAACTTGTGAAAACAAAGTAAGGGGCATTGAAATGAAAGGAAACCAAACAAGCAAACCACACTAAAAAGCAAAAATCACAAACAAAAAATGGGTCAGGCCCTTGTTGGTTTTAGCCAACCCATGGCCTATTGATACTTTTCATTACACTTACAAACTGAAACACAGTTAATATTTTCTTTCAAGTTGATTCCCTCAGTTTTTGTCCAAGGTTTTATTATAAAGAGCTCACTTCCCCCTTTGTTACAATGTGATTGTTAAGCAAAGAGAAAGAATTGCTGTGAACAATGCAGATTATCAAAGGTGGAATTTCAAAAGGTCCAAAATACTCCTCAAAATTGGTTGCAGTTACCCAACAGTTTCCTCAAGAAAAATGAAGAATAATTAAATGCTTTTCACGTTCTCAAATAGTTCATTTTTGTGTTAGTGAACTCAGCCCGGTTTGTTTCAAGATGTGTAAAGAGGATTAAAAATTACTTGCCCCTGAACATTTTGAATTTCAAAAATGAACTATTATGTAAAAATTCTTATTTTAAAGCCTGGTTGAGAAAATGCATAGCATATTTTACTTATTTAGAAAAGCTGTGTTTTCCTACAGCTCTTCAAAGTAATGAATTTGTTCTTTTGAGAAATCCTGGATTCTGAATTTAAAACTATTTGATTTTCAGTTGGAATATTTTATGGTTGCAATTGTGCAACAGAGGTAGTTGACTGGGATCCTTTGTAAAACCTATTTAGTCAAAATATTAGGACACTGAAGTGGGTTCAGATTGCATTAGAGAGCACTTGCTATGTTCAGGACTCCTGGCAGAGAAAGGAAGAAAAAATAAGTAATTCTATGTCAGTATTCCCAGTTTTAAGATGTGGGTATAATTATTGTATGCATTTTAGATCATGTACTCTTCTCCAGTCTGTTGTGTGACTTTAAATATTGCAAGCTGAGTGAGAAAATTTAAAGAAAGTATTGCTTTCAGGTGGAATGTCTTTCCATGCTTAAAAGCTGAGTGATAATTGGATTTTGTTTTTAGGAGCAAGGAGTATTTGGTAACTCTGCAATAATTGCACTAAGGTCTCCTATTTGCTGTTTGCACTAGCCAGCCCTTGAAAGGAAATATTTTGTGTGCACGTTTCTGTTGTCTGCCTCGTGTCAGGAAATGCATGTAAAATGCTACCCAGTCTGACACCTACTTTGTCTCCAGTGTTTTCCTTGTGTAAATGACTTCCCAGCTGCATGGAAATAGGAAAAATGTCTCCTGTTTCAAACAGAACTTTGAGTGTTCTGGAGGTTATTCTTGAAGTCAGTGGGAGGGAATCTAATTGCACTTGTTTTATGTGAGACAAACCAGCTTGAGAAAGTCTGAGAGAGGAACTTAGCTCTCCTTTATTTTGGTGAAAGTTTCTGGCAAGCAAAATGTATTGATGAAATGAAATTAATAGCTCCACTCATGTAGGAGAGATTTTGCAATGCACTTGTTTTCATCCAGTTTTATGAACATTGAGATTTTCACTGTCTCAAAGTTCTAAGAGGAAGCTTTAGTCTCTTTGGTAGCTGAAGTAAAAGGAGACTTGAAATTATGAATGAAGAATTTAAAATTCAACATTAAAAAGGTGAAAAAGAAACCCAGTTACAAGTTGCTGAATGCACTTTTGTATTGCAATATTTTAGAAAAACTACTCACTAAAGATTTTTTTAACAGAGAAGCACATGAAGATAATTCCCTTTTTTGACATGCTTTACCTTTGCAAAGTTCCTGGGCTGTTGACAGGTACAACAAGACATGTTCTACACTTACATGCTATTAGTGCAGCAGGCTTTGAAAAATGTCGAATACATTGGCATATCTGACAATTTAGGGTATTAGTTAACAGTAAGACTTTGTAAATAGAGTGAATTTAGCTCCAACTGCTGACTTGAGCATTCAGTCAACATCTGCAGTACAGGGCTGAACAACAAATAATGTCATTTTATGCTATAGAGATGGAAGTTGGCGTTATACAGTGTGTATGGCTCAGCCTTAGAGCAATGGTAATTGCAATGTATTGAAGTTTTGCATTGTAATAAAAACAGAGACCATTAGTGGATACCATTTATGTCATTAGTATTTAGTGGCTGTGTGTTGCAGCTTTTTTAGTGCTCATAAAACTGTCTCTGCTTGCAGATATGTGACAGCACTGATATAAATTTAAATGTTTAGAAATCCATAAGACATAAAATATAGATAGTAAATAGGGGCATAACATTATAGACAGAACCTTAATAATTTGGCACACAAATGTTTATATATTTGCATGTCTAGTGCAGAAATTAGCATAATGGTGCTCACATTTATACTACAGATGAACTTGATTAAGCAAAGAATAACAAGTGAATTAACACTGAGGCACATCATGCAGAAGCAGCAGAGAATACTTTCAGGTCCCCAAAAGGGAATTTATGATGTTGAAAGGTGCATTCTCTGCATACATCTGGTGAGATATTGATTTTTCTCTTTATAGACTTTTTACTAGTTACAGCACCTGTTCCACTAACTAGTATTCCAGTTGTTCTTAAGAAGTGATTATGTTAATTAAACAATAAAAAAGATAATAAAGTTGCTAGGAACCCTAAGATAGAGATTGGCTGGCACTAATTTAACAGTTGTGGGGCCAGCCAGCACAGTGTCATATGGTGTCCAGCCCAAAAGAGCAATATCTTGTCAGAAAACTAGAGGCTGGTGTGAGGGCAGGGAAGGAGCTGGCTTAGGAAAGACTTCTTTGGAGGACGGGGTGGGAAGGAGTCCAGGAATATAGCACAGAAGGATTTCCCTAAATTCCAGGTGTTACACATGAGGCAAGTGTGCAAGTCACAGTTTGGTCTTCCCACTACATGGGTTTTGTTCAAGAAATTTGGAAGCTTGTTTGATTTCCATGCAGCAGATCTCTGGGAAAGCTGTCTCTTTCTTTTTTTTTTAAAGGAATGTCACTTGAACTCTGCTGGCAATTACGCTAACATCTTTAAGAGGTTCCCACCGAAGTTGATTTTTCCGTAGGAAGTTGCCACCATGGTTGATTTTCCTTTAAGAGACTTCCCTTTGTGCTTTACTGACCCTAGCTTGTGTGTCGGTGACAGATTTGAAGGAAGAAAATCGGAGATTTGTCTTCTGCACACTCCATGCCCATTGTCCTCAGCTCTGACCTTTACATCCTGGAAACACCCTGCAGGTTTGTCACAGAGCTCTCAGGGGATTTGGAAATCAAATTATAAAGCACTAAGGAAGAACACAGAAAACTATAAAAACACTTCAGTCATTAAGAGCAAAGTGACAGCAAGCAGTGTTAGAGTATGAATCCTTCCAATTAATTTTCCTTTCAGAGCACTTTTTGTAACATTTTTAATTCTAAATTTGTATGGATTCTTTAGCAACATTAGTTGCATCTTTCAAAGGAAAAGAAAACCTTTGATAAACCTTCTAAGTCTATTGAATAAACAATAATAGTGGCCTGATTTCTTTGAATTCTCATAGTTGGGAAAGGTGGTAGTTCCAATGTACATTTGAAAAAAGCTTGTGGCTTACATTAATAGTTGTTAAGGTTATAAATGAGATGCTTTTCAGAAGCTCAAGTAATAAGCAGAAGCAAAACATAAGCTTTCTGTACAGTGAGTATAAATAATTCTTTCTGTGGCTCCAAGTATTTCTTACAATCTTATTATGGAAAGTGTTAAACTGAAAATCATATTGCTCCTTTTAAAAGCATATTTTCGGTTGTTTATCCATACAAAACAGACCAAAATGTAAATCTGTAAAATGCTTTCCATCTTCAAAGCAGCTATTTATATTCATCTAAATTCTGAAATCTTTTTGAAACTTTCATTTTTATTTCTGATTGTGGGATTCAGTGTCACTTCTTAGCACACTGAATGCTGATGGCTTTGAACATAGAGTATGGCACAAAGCGATAACTTGTGCCCACTACCCTGCTGACAGGCAGTTCTAAAGGAAAAGTGATTTTTGTGCTGGAGTTTTGGCTGATTTTAGAATGAAGAGAAATATTAAAGAGCATAACAAAATACTTTAATTCCTCTATACACCACTAAATTGCTTGTTACCTTATTTATCCAGTTAACAGCAGAGGTTGTTTCTGAAACCATTATTCACTAGGATTACTAGACCCACTAAGTTCTATTGCAGGTGGCAGGTAAGTTTTGCAGTAAAAAGTGGTATTCTTGACTGGGTCTGTGCACACTTACCAAAAGCATACATAAAGGGGAAAGAATATTGGAATGACATAAGAGAAATGGGCTCCCTATGATCTATTGCATCATAAGGTAGAAGGCAAAAGACTGTTTGGATTTCTGGCAAAACCTGGGTGCACCTGAATAAATGCTGTACTTCAGGGTATTTCTACTGGAATAATTGGATTAACTGTAGTTACCATAAAACCTGATTCTAAATCTGAGTACAGCATATTCCCTTAAGCAGGACAAGTAGATGCAATGCTTTGAATTGGAAATGAAAGTTGTATTGGTGGTACTTGAAAGTACCAGTAGGACTGTGCAAACCATATTTTCTTGATAATGTGTTTTCCTGTATTTTCTCACACCTGATTTTTAAGTTCACTCTTGTCCTGACTGCTGGGTGATACCTGGTATCTCACTGCTCTCTTGTACTTCTCTCTTGCAGGTAGGCAGTGTGTCATCCCAGATTCTTCCAGGGCATTCAGCCTTATTAGATTACCCAAATTACTGCAGGTCACAGCTGAGATGCATTAGAGGAATTTAATAGGAAAGCTCACCCAATATAGGCTCTGCTGTTCTTACGGCTTCTTATTGCCTTCATAAGAAGTGAGGGAGATTACTGAAAGACATATTTATAAAATATCCAGTGCAGTGCAGCTACACTCCAGGTTTATGCCAAATTAGGTGTTGAACCTGAATGAATTCGGGCATCTGCTGCAGTGCAGATTACAGGTCACCCTGTGACCTCACACATGGAGGTTGGCCTCCTCCTGCTTTGTTTAATCCATCTACAAAATTGAGAAAAACAAGGACCTCCATGAAGAAACAGGTATGCATCTGGGCACAACTGCCCTGGGTAAATAAATTATAAAGAAGGCAGAGGCTCAGCTGAAGGAATAATAAAGAAAATATAAAGGAAGGAAATATCAGTCACTTTGCCTCCTACACACATTTGTCATTAACTTAGTGGTGTGCTGTATCTACATTTATTGGGTGTGTTTAGTCTCACTGGACTTGCAGCAGAACAGATCTAGGGTCATTGTCTTTCCCTGCAATTCAGTGCATGTGGTTAGGTTTATTGGAGGGAACACAGGCACAGGCTTTAGTGACTTGTGAATGAATCAATAAAGCATGTTCCTGTAGGTTTCTGAATTGTCTCTTTCATTAAGAATGGAATTGGACAGCAGAAGATTGATTTCTGTGGCAAATCAGAGGGGTTTTTTAGACCTTAGTTTAAACTGTGGGTTTTTAAGTAAAAAAGCTTGATAAAAATATACAGGATTGAAACTGCAAAAAGGATCATAACTAGTTTAAATTTCCTTGTTCTGAAGAATTTTTTTTAAACTCAGAATTACATGAGACCTGATCTTTGGCAATGCCCAGAGCTGACTAAATGAGTGGCAAACTGCTGAGCTCCCACAGCTGAGGATCGTGGCTTACAGAGTCCTGCATCAAGTGTTCGTTAAAAGATATTTGGAAAGGCAAACATTCACAAAGAAATGTTACTGCTGAGGTTATAACTGAGACTTGTGTTGCTTACAGCTGCTCTTGACAATGAAGTGTGATGGTTATACAGGTATGGAACAGTCTTAAGTTTTGGCAGAGAGCTGTTTGATTCTGCTTATTTTTGCAGCATCACCATATGGCTGTGAAATTCTGAGGAAACTTACCTTTACAGATGTGCTCTGTCTAAAAATTTTTCTCCTGCACATCTGGGCTTACTTGAGTGTGGTAGTGCACCTTGACAGTGTTGTTTTAGGACAGTATAATTTGCTTGTAGATAACACAGTGTCCATCTTGGAGGCAGGGCTTTTAGTACACATATGTACCTTTATATCATCCTGAATGAGTTTTACTTTCATGAACAGACAAGGGTAGTGCTGCATATGCATTTCTGAATTTTTTAATAGGCTGATCAAGTCAAAATTTGTATTTCCAAATCCTCAGGGAAATGGAGAAACATGGATGAGCCACAGTGCTGAGTCTAGACAAAAATTAGCTGAATCTAAATCAAGAGCAGCATCAACAGTAATACTTAGAAGCACAGAGCTTTATTAAGAATTGATAATTTGCCAGGCATTGCTTTCCACATAGGCAATGTTGTAAGATGTTGGCTATCAATAAGTTGCTACATATTCCAAAACAAGTTTAAACCAAATAATTTATCACAAGATGTGTCATCAGCTTAGCTATAGCTTGCATGTGCATACCTGCAGAGGATAATGGTGTTTTCTAGTAATTCTCTTGAGAGGCAGTTACATTTTTTTTGTAAATTACAATTTTCTAGTAATTGTTATGTAAGAATTACAAGCTACCTACATGTAAAGGGTTTATGAATTATTCATTGTTTGGTGCAAACCTGAATCTTGATTCTGCCCTGTTGTCCCCTCACTGGGGTCTTGTGTAGCCATCCTTCCCAGCTGACTGTAGAAGCATGTTTATACCTGAAGGGTGCCCATAAATGCTACACATACAGAATTAAAATGTTGCTCTTGTGGTGCAGTGAGAGATGAGGGTGATACAGGGCCTTAGTGGGGATTTCTGGTTCAATTTTCTGGTACACAATCACAATTTGTAGTGCTATTTTTGCATTGTTGTGTCACAAGCACTCTCAGTCAGGGACTTACTAAAGATGGGCAAACTGTGTAGGATCCACAGGCCTGGGTAAGACATCCAAAATCTCTAGTAGTTTTTCAGAGCTTAATGAGAGGTGGAGTTTTCTTTTCTCTCAGTGTTTTCAGGCATAAATATTTCCCTTTTCAATGGTGTATCAATTTTTGCAGACTGCCTTATCACCCAGGAGCAGGAGGAAGTGAGCTGGAGCTATGTGCTTTCTGTCTAAAACAGAGCATTCCTTGGTTGGGATGAACACCAGCAGAAGTTACTGAGGAGTTTTCCCAGGCAGGGTTTTAATATTGTCTTTGATATCCTGAGGAGAATGCACCCTCAGCTGTGTGGGTTTGTCTGAAATCATTATTAATGTAATAGCCATAATTAAGGGTCTGTCCCACTGGAGAGTAAGAAAGGAGTAAGAGATTGATCTTTACTCATTGTTGTGTTTACAGTAGGGGTTGTACAGCACTCACTGGCTACAACCTGATAGCTGTCATTCTGGGCAACTACTTTTTGTGCTCATTAAAGATGAATTAGTGTACATTATTTATCTTGATTTTCACAGGATCCATTGCAAAGCACATCCAGAACAGGAAGACCTTTATTCTTTCTTACTCATGAGAAAGATCTGTCAAGTCAGTGAGTGGTTTGATTGAATGAGAGCAGTGAAACTGCTCTCTGTGGTGGAAGATTTTTAAGAAGAGAGGTGAGTGGCATTTTTTTTTCAGATTTGACTGTGGTTACATGGCAGAAAGTGTGAAATCCAGTAAGCAAGTTGCCCAAAAATTCGAACCATCCCTCAGAGGTGTGGGAAGGTGGTCTCTGGTTAAACTAGTCATCATTTCCCCATGAGTGTGTCCCAGAAAGGAGTGGATTTGGGTCTGCTCAGGAAGAAGAGCGATGTCCTTGATTCCGAACTTTGAAGAATCCTTCATGGTAAAGGGGATGGAACATAAGCATGCAATGGCTTTTACTTTTCTGAGAGGTGGGACTGCCCATAGCTTTGATGAGTCCAGCTCAGGTTGTGGTGTACCAGCATCCCTGGGACCAAAACATGGGCTGCCAAAGCCCTGCATGGAGGGAAGGGTGAGTGGTGGGGCTGCCCATGGCTTTGGTGAGTCCAGCTCACTCAGGTTGTGGTGTACCAGCATCCCTGGGACCAAAACATGGGCTGCCAAAGCCCTGCATGGAGGGAAGGACAAGGCAGTGAGTGGGAGTGACAGCCTGACAAGTTCAGTTGAGAAGTGAGGTGATAAATGTGTGGAGTACAACATACTAGTGTAAGCCAAGATGATGGATTTTCCATTTACAGATTAACACTGGAAGCATTTCAATAAGGATGTGTTTTACTCAAAGAGGAGTTGTGGGGATTGATGCAGAAGTAACTGAGTGAAAATCTCATATAAAAGAATGTCTGATGGCCACTTTAGATCTTATTAAAATTTTAAATGTTAAACTGGAATCTCTTTATATTAGATTTGAATGGCACTTTTTGGTGGACGGCTCAATATCCCAAGTGGCATTGAGGTTTCCATGGGATTGATTTTGCAGGAGCCCATGCTGCATGCCTGAGGACACTTGGCCTTATAACCCTTGCTTGGGTAATACAGACAGCCAGAGTGGACCCAAGCAGCTAAAAGAGACAAATGTGTTGTGGATGAAAAGGAAAAGAGAGTCAGTGAATATTAAAAGGTACTAGACTGTCATAGGAGGATAATATTGTCTTTTGGCTCAAGTTCCACAGATGGGTATTTAAAGCCCTCATGTAAATCTGATTAAGTGAGGGGCTGAAGCAGTTCCCCTGACTTCAGTAGGATCATTTTGAAGAACAGGGTTAAGTGATTCTTAGTGGACTGGGACAGAGAAGAATACTGACAACATGATTATCTTTTGCATCTAGGGCTCTTTTTTCATCTCTGATAAAATCTGAACCATAAAGGAGAGTATATAGTAGGAAATTGAAGAAGAAGTAAAAAGATCTGGAATGAAAACTCTGACTCTTGAGGCTTAGTAGAGGAAGGAGAAAACATATAAGCCTAAGAAGTGCACATGGAAGTAGTCCCCAATTAGTGATATTCGTCATTATTTAAGGATGACAATCACTGTGGATCCATAGTGGGGAATAGAGTAGGGTCTTTACTGAAATTCCCCAGGCTGAAATAAGGCTACTTTTGTCTGTAAAGAAGTATTTTCCAAAGCTTGTTTTTTGGGTTGATATTTTGTTAAAACAGAACACTCAACCAGCAGTGTTGAACTAGGCTATTTTAATGTTCATAGGCAGATGTTATATTAATTTTTAAAAAATATTTCTTTTGATTTTTCTGTGTAGAAAAATAAATAATTTCAGTTTAAGAGGTCATGCTAAAGTGAAAAACTAAGCATTTACCCAAACCAAAATTCTTTTGTCATTTCATTTTGTGGGAACATGGAGTCACTTAGGCATTTATGGTGTTTGGAAATGACTGTCTTACATGGAACTCTGGGTCACTTCTCAGCTCAGGTTCACAGGTTGGTATGGGTCATAATTATCACAAGAATTAGCTGAAGACCATAGCAATTAACTATTTTTATGGCTTATTATCATATTCTAAATACTAAATTGTTCTGTCAGATAGTCTCAGAGAGATTTGATAGCTGACCCACAGACAGTGCACTGCCTTTGCTTACATACTTAAGCTACAAGTATTTCTAGGAAGATATAGCTTATTAATTCATTATTATTTTATTGATGTTCAATTGATGTCTGATTAAATATAAATTAGACACTTGGTAATAATAATGTAATAGGATGAGGCAGGTGAGATTCCCCCAGGATAGTTTGTAATGAAGCTTCAAATTTTTAATAATCTTAAACTCATAAATAAATTATGATGGGTGAAACAAATGCAAAAATACTGAAATAAGCTATAAAAATGTTAAGTGCTGCTGAAGAGACACATAATCTGCTGGGAGATGTGTGTGAGAATGTGCATTTGGCACTGAGTCACGTCGCTCAGAATCAGCACTCCCCTCTCCTTCCAATCATTTCATATCTAGGTGTGCAGCTACCCCTCCTACCCCATTGTTATGCTGCACCATCCTGTTGCCAGACATTTTGCTTTGCCTGGGAACAGTGTTAATTTAATGCACTCAGGTGACCCCAGAGGCCCTGGAATGACACGGCAGCAGCAGCCCAGAGCGCTGCAGTGATCCCTGCTGCTCGCAGAGCTGCCGCGAGACCGGGCGCTCTTCTGGACAGTTGTCTGTGAACTCTTCAGGGAAAAGTCAGGGGGAGCTGTCTCTTTGACCACACTGTCAGTGCTGAGAAGGACACATCCTCTCACTTAGCTACATCTTTCATCTTTTCCTTGGAAGACAGATTTCCCAGGTGCTCCTCTGTTTTTCTTGAAGAGTTAGCACGGAGACCATGTGTCCCTTAGATAAGAAAAGAGAGAAAGGAGAACTTACCCTTATGTAAGGAAAGAAGGAAGTAGACAAGGAGACAATTCTGATGGTCTATTTGCTGGGTTTTTTGGGGTTTTTGGGTCCCTAATACCCTGCAAAGATTTCAAGAGATCTGAACCCCCCCATTTCTTCAGTAAAAACAGCACCATGATCCCAGCCTTGAAAGACAGAGTGAGATCCCAAGGCAATACTCAGTGTCAGTGTTTTAGACTCATCATACTGGGATTTGCAGAAACTCAGCACTTTGTAAAAGCTGTTGGTAATTTGAAGAGTTAAGTCATGCAGCAGGTTAGTAAATGTAAAGCTTAGTTCCTAAGATTAATTTTACAATATTTCTATCAGTGAAAGTAAGGGATACACAAAGGCCTGAAAATCTGGCCCTGTGAACATAATCACTGGTTTAGAATTTCACCTAAAATTATATTCCAAGAATCTGATGGTTACTGAATGGCCAAAGGGCTGTAAACTGGAAATTTGGCTCAATACAAGGTAGAGAAAAAGACAAGTATGCTGCTTTTCTGATGTGAGAGACCTTGGTTGCTAGGAGGAAAGCATTCAAGTGTTTGCTTATGTTTTTCTGGGGTGTTAACAGTGTGGGATAAACAGATAACACCATGCCTCTTAAATAACATTTTCTTAAATAGTGGAACTATTCCCTAATGAAGAAATTGCAGTGATCATATTTCTATAAAAATAGGGAGCTATTACAGCACTATGTAATTAAAATGCTGTATTTTTCTAAACAAAAATCTGCTGGCAAATACATTTTTGTATATTTTTTGTAATTGGAGGTTTTGAAATCAACTTCTTGTTGAAACACAGGAAATTGCCTGTCCATGACAGAGTAAGGAGAGAGCAGTCAGATGTGTGATTTGCAGCATCCATGGCACAATGATGTTCTTTTTTGGTAGATAGGGTTATTCCTGTGCGTCTGCCAGGAAGCCCACTGGTGCAGAAAACACATCCAGCTTGAATCATTCTTCACTTTTTCCATGATGTGCCAGGCCAGCATGGTCTGGTGGAAGTGTTTGCCAGTTCCTGTCCATACACTTGCTGACACTTCTCTGGGGAGCCACATTAAGCAATTGCTTGGGTCACCAGATGTCTGTGTCTCCTTCTTCATGTGCAGCGAAGGCTGGGCTTGGGAGAAGGTCCTGCCCTGCTCTTGCTGTTGTTTGCACACTGTCCAGATTTCTTGTGCCTTGTGTCAGTGTGACAAAAAGCCCTTCCCAGGCTCTGCTTGCTGCCTTGGATGTAGGAGTGCTGTTGGGGATGAATAAATGCCTTGCAAGATCCCTGCCACTTTCTCATGCAGGAATTAGAGAAGTCTCAAGGCTAGTTTCACATTTGGGGCACCTCTTTTCTGCCATTTTGTTGTCCTGCAAGAAAATAAGATACAAATTACTTCAAGCACAGCACCTTCTGCTTCAACTTTGATGCAAAGGTCTTATAATTGAGAGAATTTATCTGTGTAAGAACTGAAAGATTAAATAGGCATTAAACAGGCATTTAAGCTGTTTGGAGCCCTACGTGCCTCTGCTGTGTGTACATAAAGCTCAGCTCAGGGAATGTAACAAACATTCTGCAGCCTCCAGAGATACCTACAAATTTGTGGTTCTGTATTTGCCCTTGTCTCCCTTTAAAAGGCTCCTGTTGCTGCACATCTTTATTCAAAGTTACCTCTGGTGAGGCAGAGTTGAGTATAACATTTATAGTAATTGGTAATCAAAAGGAAAGAAGAAACAAAGGAAAAGGCCAATAATGAAAGACAATTATTAAGTGCCAAATATAATTTGTCAAAGGCGTTCCTTCTAAATTGGATGAAGGCAGCATTTTTTCAGATCAATACTGCCTCAGTGACTCCAGCACAGTTGTGGTAGCTTTTGGCTAACAAGAAGAATTGATATGACCTAGGTGTAAACATTAAGACCAAAGAACTTAGTGGATTAATAGATCCTGACTGTGATCAGGTATTGCTGTAAAACTGGGATTGGCAATATGCAAGGGTTGAAGCTAGCACAAATCACATCCATGGCCTGATTAGCTAGGAGCCAGCCTCATAGATCAGCACATCCAGAAGTTCAAAGCTCCACAGCAAACTGAGCTCAGTAGTAAATATTATCAAGGGGTACATGCCCTGGTTCTTGGAGATCTTAGTAGGAAAACATGTATTGAATTCAGAGTTTGAGCTGCCTGTCAGAGGAAGTGCATTAAGTATTTAAGCCAGCTGTTGCCCATCTTTATCCACATATCTTACCCAGCCTGATACATTTAATTACCAATATAAGGTGTTCTTGCTGTGATTTAGTACAATATTATATTCTTACCCAATGTTACTACGGGTCAAATACTGTGTTTTATTTCAAAATACATGGTGGGAATAGAGATGCAGGTGTCATACAACAGAGGGGCAGCCTCATAACAGGAAATGGCATTTCAACTAAAGTTTCAGAGGGGGAATGATGTTCTGGGTATTTCATAGACCAGAACACCCTGGTAGCCTGCTGACAGAGGCAAGCAGCTCATTGTTCCTTAGCTGGTGTTCATTAGCCCTCACTGTGCCACAGGAGCCCCTGGCTCTGGCAGCAGAATTCTACACTGTGGAAACAAAACCCTCGTAGTCTAAGCAAACCATAAACACTTGTGCTGAGTCCCAAGAAGCAGTGTTTGCACTGGAACTCGGGCATCCTAATTCACAGCCAGCACAGCTTACTTGAGACCAGACCCAGTGGGGCACTTAGGTATCCCCTGGGAGGAAGGAGTCATCGATATGTGTGCACACCTCTGCATCCAGCAGCCTCACACCTTCCTGAAGACAGCTCTGCAGCAGGAAGGAGCATCACAGCTGCATTTTTCATCAGGAGAATATGCTAATTTTTGCTGCAACAACTGTATATTACCTGGCAATTACTCTCTCCAGTCTCTTGGTTTCGCTTTATGTGTGGTTGTGATTAGAATCCCCAAATGATTATGTAATAGGTAGAAGATACCTGATAATGTAATAGGCACTTCCTATTTTTTCTAAAGCTGTATTAATATAATTTCTTAGGTGTCGTTGTGTATTTCTCGACGTCAGTCCATTGTGAATCATGCAGACACATCAGTGAAAAAACACAACCTGCTGCACAAGAAGCTGTGAGCAACAAGAAATTTCGGCTGGATGACTGCATAAGGGCTTTGCAAGACCGCCAATAATTTTTTATATTCAGAGTTAAATAGAGCAATAAGATAGAATTTCAGGTTTAGTGCAATGGATTGCAGCTCTTCAGTCAATCAAATTATAGTTCAATCAGTTCATTTTAATCACTTCTCTGGAGAGAAGTAAACCCCTATGTTGAAGAATATGCAGCAATTTTATTGATGGAAAGTTTAATTGTTTCATTTTTCCTTACCGTCTGTAACATACTAGACTTTTAATCAGTGGGAACTGAAGTTATAATGAAGTAAAGTCCACTTTCCACAGTTCACAACTAGCTGAAAATAATTGGGTTGAGACTCCCATCCAGACAGTGTAATGCCTCTGGCATTTTCCTGAAAACTACACTTAATTGCTTTGCTGATGTTGTTAAGTGGTCCTAAGGGGGATGAAGTAGTAAAGCTGCTCACATATGCAGGGAAACAATACACAAAAAATGTCTTACAAGGTCCTTAAAGGAGGACCAACTAGTGACTAGAAGACAATATATTGCACTTTTCCCCCCCTTTTGGGAAAAGTGCAATATATTATACCACAGAGAACACAGAGAAGAGGCTGATAAAATAAACTGGAGATTCTATAAACACTATTTTTATTTAAGGGCAGTAAGCTTGGGAGCCAAAATACAGAAAACGTCAAGGCAGAGCTCTTGCAATCAAACCTGCATCTTTAGGCTAGCCCAAGTTGCTTGGCATTTTTATGCTGAACACTGGTGAGCTGCTGCCTGTCTTCAGCACCTTGGCCTGAGGAACAGATGTACTCTTGTCCCCAGGGAGGGAGGACAGCTTGCTCTCTGTTCTCTAAAGTGACAGGATGTGAGCAGCCATGAGCTGAAAGCCTTGTCCAGGCATCAGTGGGACCAGCACATGTACCCTGTTAGGCTCTAAACATAGCCAGAGAAGGAATAACACTTTGGCATTTCTCCTTATTTACTGCATTGTTAGGAGACCCTCCATGATTATATGGCAATTGTTTAAAATTATGAATTAACTGATAATCTCAAGGATATTCTGATGAAGAAATACATTAGCTGTTTTATGGACAAAAATATTTAAGCTACTGCTGACTGAAATCAGTGTTAGAGCTGAAGCTGTTTTGATGAGAACTATAGAGATTATTTAGATTTTTTTTAAGTGGGGGGGCTTTTTTTTGTTTGTTTTTGGTTTTGGTTTTTTTTTTTTTGGTCCCTGTTTATTTAGATATATGAGCACAGTAAAGTCTCTCTCAACAACCTGACCTTCCTCAGCTGCTATTTGTGTAAACTTCAGTATGACCTTTGCTTATTCTGTTCTTGCTTTTACAGGCTCTGAACTGAACAACTACCCCCTGACGACTCTCTAGAAAGGAACATAGGCAAAACTGAGCCATGGGGTTCTAAAGCTAAAATCTTAAAAGTTCTTTTAACCCTACGTCTGACCCCAAGTGCCTTTAAGAGTCTATGAGTTGGCACCTCAAATTTTGGCCAGCATAACTCTTCCAGCACATGAAATCATGTTTTTTCCACTGAAACTGGCTGAAGTCTAGACAAGACTCAAGTACCTTGACATGTAGCCCCATGTTAGCCTGACCATTCCCCCTAATATTAATAAACTTTAACATGTATTTCTCCTGTGGTGAAATAATCACCTCCCGTGTGCTGGAACCGCCGACCATCTGCCAAGGAGATCAGCCCTCAGTGAGAAAGTGCCTGTGTCCAATTCACTCTGCTGGCCTGGCTCTGGGAGGACAGCTCAGCAGCAGCAGTGCTTGGGCTCTGCTGTTCTGGGCTCCTGTTTTGTCATGAGTAATGTGGATGGTTTGGAATGGTTTTAGCAAATGCACCAAATGAGGACTGTGTTGGGACAACTGATGGGAGACGGTGCTTGGGTTTTGTATTCTCAGAGGTGCTGAGGGACTGGAGGAGCCAGGGCAAACCTACAGTGCAGAGGGCAAATAACCAACCTGGTGTGGCTGGCTGAAATTTGCCTGTGTTGTCTGGCTGGTTTAGAGGGTACCCTGCCCTGACCCTTCTTTTGGGGACAGGGTTGCTGTCCCAGAAGGAGGAGGAGTTCCTCCTTGAGCTGTAATGCAGTCCCGTGCAGCAGCACAGCTGCCAGCTGGCCCTTATTGCCAAGCAGAGCTGCTTGCTGGGGCTCACATGCTTTAAAGTCTTAGCCTGGGTCTCAGTGGAAACAAGGAGGAGAATGATTTGACACACATTCCCCTGATTTGACATAGTGTGTGGTTACAACATGGTGTGTCCTCCACAAGAAATCCAAAATACATGTTGCTGTGCAGGCACAGATCTGACTGTTCCTGAAAAACTGTTCATGTGGAAAGATACAATTTTCATGGTTGTCATCAAAGCCAGTGTATGTATTCATTTGTGGAAGCATGTCAGACACCATATGTCACTAATATGCCTTTGATATGATGGTGTCTGAATAATTTTTTTAACTGCTTAATGGCATATGTTTAAATGTAAGCATCTGTTCTGTGTCTGTACTGTCTGTACTATTTATTCTTTATTTCTTATTTTCTTTTGACTAAAAGTTTGATTTTCACCTAGAAAAAGTGTGGGATTCATCTTATTTTTAAAGAAGTAGAGTTTTGGTAGTAGTTCAGCATGTGGCCAATGTGTGTCTTCTCAAGGATGAGAAGGTCATTTAAATCAGAATTTTTCCTTTTTTCAGTAATCAGAAAAAAAAATCAGTTCCCAGGCAAAATAAAGATTAGATTTGACTACAAGTTTGTTAAATGAATAAAATATTGTTTTACTGTTGAGCAGGTCCTGCAATGCATGGATTTGCTGAAAATAAGTCCTTGTAAGAGCCATATGTTACACCATGATGACAGTAAATTGGTTCTATCCAGAAACTTTTCTGATTCAGTTAAAGAACTTGCTGTATAATAAATGACTTAATAAAGGAATGAAATAATACACTATGTTTGTTAGGCTATTCATTATACATGGGTGAAACTCAAAACCAGTGTCACAACAAAGGGACTCAAAAGTAGTTATTGCAACTCATCAATCAGCTGAGCCACTGCAGCACCCTTCAGGAGACTACAGCCAGCCTAAAAGGCACGGTTTGGGCAAAAGCAGGGAATGATACTTTACTGTGATTGAAAAACAAGAAGAGACTTTATGAGCCAACTGGGGATACCTGGAGAGTCCAGACAAGAGCGTCCAATGCTCAAGTACAGGAGGGGCTTATGAACCATTGCACAGGGAGCAGCTGCATTGGGCTCACCAGCATGGTGGCAGGAAGAGGCACATGAAGAGCAGAGATGGTGGCACATGGTGGCAGGAAGAAGCCTGTAAAGAAGTAACTGTGGTGGCACATGGTGGCAGGAAGAGGCCCGTAAAGAAGCAGGGATGGTGGCAGGAGGAGGCTCATAAAGAAGCAACCATGGTGACACACTGTGAGCTGCAGAGCTACGAGTATCCATGCAGTGACCCTTCCAGCCAAGCTCTGTGAGTGTCCCATGGCTATGGTGTTCTGCCTTTTGGTAAGAATAACAAATGTCAGCTCTTGGTGGACTTAGGCAGCCTGGGCTTCAAATTCTGTGTGTAAAGTTTGGCTCAGGCCATTAACAGACCAGCAGCCATTGCATATATAACATTGGAAAATCAAATCTGCCTAAATCCAAAAGCTTTATGTCACTGTCACGGAGTCATAGCATTTCATAGCCACAGCTTAAAACGAACCACATCAAAACGAACCACGAAGAGCCGAGTGCAGCTGGTTTGTAAAACAGGCCCTGAGTAGCCCAGAGCGCACCTGCAGCCATGGCAGAGCCCTGCCCGGGCGGCCGGGATGAGGGGCCTCGGAATCAGTCAGTGCCATCTTGTGGCATTTCAGGATATTGAAACGCCCCTGAGCTACAGTAACTGCAAATGTCCTTGGAATCCACCACAATTCCAAAAATTGCAATGGTACCGCATACCAAGCCTGTACAGATACATTTGCTTGGCCACCGCTGCTGCGGCAGTGCATGGAGAGGCTCAGCACCTGAATGATTAATGAGGCAAACGCCTACCAATTATGGCTCATTGGAGGGGCACAGATTAATGCCTGTAATTAGAAATCCCGGGAACAGATGGAGAATTTTGCAATATCAAAAGCCTGCTCCTTATTAGCCGTGCCCGGCGCTGGGCAAGCGGAGCGCCAGGCCGTGGTCTGCCTTGCACAGGCCTCTGCTGGGACAGAGCTGGGACCCGGGGCAGGAGCTGCTCCCGGGGACCCTGCCCGGGGCTGGGGCTGGGTTCTGCAGCCCCCGGGGCAGGGCTGGGCTGTGCTGAAACCTCTGGCAGCCCCCACGGCCCCCACCGTGGGCCCTGCGAGCAGCACGGGTTTGATGCTCAGAGGTGGCTGCGGCTGCCGCATCCCTTGCAGCCTCAGATCCTTCCCTCCAGATCCCCAACACTCATTCCTGGGACGCCAGCCTGAGCCTGGGACACAGCAGCAGCTGCTATTACTGACTCTATAAAAAAATTTTACAAAAGTATTCCAAGCACCTATTCTACTCTCCCCACCCACTTAAATAGGTGGAAAGGGCCTATAAGCCTGTACGAACCATATAAAATGAGAAAATGCCTAATCTAATTTGATACACACATAATATCGTCCTGCTCTATAAAGCAATTTATATACTATAAACATAGCACACATCCAGTAGATAAAGAATTAATGTAAGTAATGTAAGAATTTATATGAAGGTATATATATAAAATGTCCATATACATATATTGTTTATAGAAGTACAAATATAGAAATATACCAAATTATATATAAAAATATACAAAAATATATACATATAATTATACAAATTATATATAATTATATATCATTATTATATTATTATATATAATATGTAAGAATATCTAATATATATTATATATAATATTATTATAATTTAAGTAATGATATACAATTTTCTATATATTGTGTGTATATGTATGAATATATAGTCATATATATGTATGAATAGGAAATGTGCTGTTTCGCAATAATGACTGCTGCAGTACCAGAAAAGGACACATACTTCTCCTGGCAGTGTAACATTTATTGCATGAAAAGGAAGGACATCTAACAACTTGAACTGAATTAAAACCAGCTCTGAGGCCCCTTCAGTCATCTGGTGGCCAGAGGAACATCCTTTCTTTACTGCATCAGAGGCTGCTGGGGAAGGTGGGCAGACCCCTGTGTCCCTGCAGGTGACACCATGGCTCACTAACACCTTTAATTCTTCCTTGTCTCATTGCCCACTTTGACACTGGTCAAGCATCCCAGACACTCACCCAAAAGGCTTTTTGGGAGTGGTTATGGTGTAGTTACAAACTTCAAGTAATTTCTGCTTTCTACCTTCTCCACTTCTATCAATTATTCAGAGATTTTTCTTTTTTTTTCTGTGACCCCAGATTTAACTTTTTTTAAAGGAAATCACGTCAATTTTATCAAATCTTCGGAAAAGAAAATCACTTTCACACTATACAAGTTTCATTCAAGGACTTGAGCCCTGATGTGCATTCAGTATAATCTTAGTAAATAGTGGGCTTTTCTTAGAGCTTTGCTGGGAAGTAGTTTGTTGTACAGTTGCCATCTACAATAGTGGTAGGTTTGTTTTAGAGTTTATTGCAGAGCACTGAATCCTGTTGTAATCTGTCTTTTTGAAGACAGTAGAAATGCTCTGGTTGCAGACAGACAAAAATTTTAGAACTTACAAGGAGTCAACAGTAAATTGAAAACTGTTTTTTTCCCCTATTAATTTGATCACGAAGACAAAAAAACCACTATATGATAATTTCATTGTTATGAACTGCTACTATGGTTAGTTACACGCATGACTAATGGGTTCACTCTGACCTCAACAAGGCACTTCTTATTTTCCGAACTAGACAAACTGAGTTTTTATCTTCTATTAGTGTAAGCTGCTTTATTAACACAAAGTAATCTTCCAAATAGTTTGAAGCCAATATGATAATTATAACATAATTGATTGCAATTGCTTGTTT